GGGTGAAGTGGCTCCGCTATGAAAAGAGCTTTCTATTCTCTATATTTCCCCGCCTCGTTTTTGAAAATCGGTCGGGTCATTGAGAAAATATGAAAGATTGAAATTTGAAAAGTTTATTTAAACATTTATCAGAGTAAATGATAAGGATAAATTCCTTCGACCAATTTGAGGTTTTTTCTTACTATTTCTAGATGTTTACGCATTTTTTCACTTGCCACAAGGTTGAATGATCAGGTGCGGTAGTTGCTAGATAGCTGTTCTGTGACTTGTGCGTTGAAGTTCTCAATATCGTTAAACTGACCTACAATAGAATTTCCAAAAATACCAGCCAACACGTTCAATTTTTGAGGGTTTTATGTGTGCACCTCGTGAAAAACCCTGGGGTTGTCCTCAGCCCAGTACCGACAGTTGTGCCCATTAACTACACCATTCAAAAAGAAAGTACACTCATCCGAAAAATACACATTAAAAAGGAAATTATGATCATTCGCCACTCGTTCACCCATAGTTTCAAAAAATTGCAAGCGACGATCAAAATCGTCTTCGATGAATTCTTGTACCAACTGAATTTTGTACAGGTGGAACTTTGTGGACTTTGTTGAACTCGGGTGTTTTTTTAATATCCTCTTGGACACTTGTACGATTCACGCCGGTTTCATTGGCTAATTTTCTTGTCCTCAGCGTACTATCCATGTCAACTTGGCCCAATATGGAATACCTCCATAGCTTCATTTACTACAGGATTTTCCCTCTACCTCTTTTTATTCATAACGGAACCAGTTTCGCGAAATTTTGCTACTAACTCGCGAACAATTTTGCCATATGTTTATGTTAATTCTTTTGTTGTTAATTATGTTTTAACAAGTGTAAACTCTAGAGTTTATACTTGAAAACGATTAGTGATACATCTGACTATAAGTTAAGTAAAGGCAAATTCGAAATTCTTTTAATGTATGTGTTTAAAATTTCTAGGTGTATACTTGGACAGGGGTTTGCTCTGGAGAGCACAAGTTGATGAGTTGTGCAACAAATTATCCACTAACATCTTTGTTCTAAGGAATTTGAGACACTGCGTTTCTGGTTATATTTTGAGACAAGCATACTTTGCTCTTTTCCATGCACATATGAAGTACGGCCTGATTGTTTGGGGTCATAGCAGTGGAGCCAATAGAGTCTTTGGACTACAAAGAAAGGCAGTTCGAATAATCTCAGATACACCATATCATGCAGACTGTCGACAAGAATTTGTTTCGAATAATATTTTAACACTGCCCTGTCTTTATATTTTAGAAACTTCTATATGTGAGAGAGAACATACATCAATATGTAACACATGAATCGGTCCATACTTATGCTACACGTAATAAAAATGATTTAAATTAAAAAAGTTGGCGTTTAAAAAGATGTCAGGACGGCCCTGGGTACTTAGGAATACATTTTTTTAATAAACTTCCACATTCTATTAGAGATTTTCCCATCACAAAAATTAAGTCTGTTCTAAAGACATTCTTTGTTGATCGGGCGTTTTATACTCTTAGTGAGTTTCTAGAATGTGATATTAGCAGTATTATGTACAAACACGTACAATTTTTGAGGGTTTTATGTGTGCACCTCGTGAAAAACCCTGGGGTGTCCTCAGCCCAGTACCGACAGTTGTGCCCATTAACTACACCATTCAAAAAGAAAGTACACTCATCCGAAAAATACACATTAAAATTATCATTCGCCACTCGTTCACCCATAGTTTCAAAAAATTGCAAGCGACGATCAAAATCGTCTTCGATGAATTCTTGTACCAACAGAATTTTGTACGGGTGGAACTTTGTGGACTTTGTTGAACTCGGGTGTTTTTTTAATATACTTTGGACACTTGTACGATTCACGCCGGTTTCATTGGCTAATTTTCTTGTCCTTAGCGTACTATCCATGGCAACTTGGCCCAATATGGAATACCTCCATAGCTTCATTTACTACAGGATTTTCCCTCTACCTCTTTTTATTCATAACGGAACCAGTTTCGCGAAATTTTGCTACTAACTCGCGAACAATTTTGCCATATGTTTATGTGTTTGTGTTTATCAGGACGGCGTTCATTGAATATCTGCGCAAACCGATTGCCACATTCATTATTTTTAAAATAAAGTTCGATTATTTCCACTTTTTCTGCAAGTGAGTACACCATAATTGTTAAAAAGTTTAACGATATTGAGAAGAACTTCAGCTATCTAGAAATTATCGCACCTGATCGTTCAACCTTGTGGCAAGTGAAAAAATGCGTAAACATTTATAAATAATAAGAAAAAACAGCAAATTGGTCAAAGGAATTTATCCTTATCATTTACTCTGTTAAATAAACTTTTCAAATTTCAATCCGTCATATTTTCTCAATGACTCGACCGATTTTCAAAAACGAAGCGGGAAAGTATAGAGAATATAAAGCCCTTTTTATTGCGGTACCACTTGACCCCCCCTCCCATTTGAAAAAAGTTGGGGGATGACACCCCCGCTTAGAGGGTTGAAGATTTTGCAATCATTTTTGGGGCAAAAGTTGTCCCCCTCACACAAGAACAGTTAACCTAATATGACAATAGGACTGCTCATTCAGCCAAAAGTGTCCGCCAGGTGCATGCGAAAACTACTCGCTTTGTGACGTCATTGTAGCCCTTGTCATGGTTATTAGTCCTTATCCGGCAACCAATAATACACACACGTGCATTATTGGTTACCGAATGCAAAACGTTCATTATTTAGTTTATTTATTTAAACACCTTATATGTATGCAGTATAGAAAATTAACTGTATAAATCGTATTAAATACTCGGATAATGCATTTTTAAGAACAGCAGTTCCCAGCATCACTTTTGCAAGCATTCTTTTTAGAGTACTTCCATATTTTGCTTTAAAATAATTAATAAACAAAATCGTGGGCACTTAGTATGCACTTTGTCACAATCCACAACACAAAATGAACGTATTTATACATTCTATAGCTCTAAAAACTTTAAAGACACCTTTTTCACATTTAAAATTGACAAAATAATTAACTCAAAATTTCTCAGCTGTTATTTTTATAAGTTTACCATAGGCAACTAATAATACACACTATCATGACAAGGCCACGAAGGCTTTGACAAGGGCTACAATGACGTCACAACTGTCAACTGAAGCGCGGGAAGAGGCGAACGTACGCCTTATGAGGATGAGCAATCCTATTAGTTTACCGTTCTTGCCCTTCACAAACAAAATTGACGTGTTTTTGAATCTTCTGAAAAAAAATTACCCTGGCCGTTATGCCTTGCGGAACGTTTTCGATGGGCCACCCTGTATACTTATTCTCATGGTCGTTAAATGGTTCTAGATGCTGACGCGACAACTAATCAACTTAATCAAACTCTCTCTCTCACACTCTATTTGTTCTCAATTTTTTTTTAACCTTTTGTTCTAAAATGTTCTCAATGCTCTCAAATGTACATTTTTCTCCAGAATAATGAGAAAAAGTGAAGAAATTCAGAATAAGAGAACTTATAAAAAAGTAACGCATTGATTTCCAACCCCTTTTCTGTTGTGCTAATTATAAATTTTTGACATTTGCTTGTTTTTGTTTGTTTATTCTCGTTCGTTCTCTGCGAATGTTCTCCAGAAATATATTCTCAAGCTATTTACAATACTAACTGTTAGTGTGGGATTACATGCGTCTGTAATGCGTCGTCCATCGTTGACTTTACACTCTTATTGGTTTAATTCAAAAAATGACACCTCATACTTAAATATGATTATACTGCCGGCATTTTTCCGTTTCCTATACGGCTAGCGCAACCGATTGCGTTAATCGCATAGGAAACGGACTCGATACCTGCAACTCCGTTTACTAAGTGGTCATCGCAACCCATGCAAAGAAGCGCTTGCAATGAACTTTCTAGGTATGCTCTATTTGTAGACACTTAGGACACAGAAAATGGGATACTCAATATTACTTGTAACCACTACACTATAACAAAACTCTAAGAATTAAGATTTAAACAATTTAATTTGACAATTAATCAAATAAATAAAGTTACAAAAATATTATTCCAACAAATGAAAATCATAATAATTCCATTCATTGATTTATATAGGGTAGATTGCGATAATTGTAATGCCATGTATGTATAGGCCAAACAGGTAGAAATTTAGATATAAGGATTAAAGAACATATAAAATCTATTAATAATCTCCAGCAAAGTTCCGGTCTAGCAACTCATATTAAATAGTCACACAGTTAATGAAAACTCAATTAAGTTATTAGATAGAAAAATAAAAAGCAGATGCTTAAATTACCCAGAATAGTTAGAAATATTAAAATCAGCTAAAAACGACAATAATGTAAACGACCAACAAGGATTTCTAAACACATTTTTTATTATCCCTATTGTAAACTCCTTAAATCCACCACCATAGCAAATATATTATATATCCTTAAAATGTAGTCAGACGGTTAGTTTTTAAAGGACTCTTAAAAATGTCTAAGTTACTCTTTTTATTTTTTTTGATACATCTAAAAGCGTGTTTTATTAAAATTCTAATATTTCAACGATGTTTCACAAGGAACCAACCACCGACTCAGCACTCTAGCACTATTTATTAAAAAAAAACAGATTGACATATCAACCACGTCTTAAAGCTGTGTTGCCGAACTGCCTTGCCAATATTAGCATATAAAACGTTAAAAATTACCTATTAGATTTATCTCTCAGTTATGTTGCTTTTTTTGGAATCCAGAATAAAAACACCTCATTATTAATTTAAATTCGATTAACGCAATCGGTTGCGCTAGCCGTATAGGAAACGGAAAAATGCTGCCGGGACGACGGACGACACATTATGGATGCATATAAAAACTCGCCTTAACACCTTATGATCGAAAAAAAAAACGGCGTCAGCGATAGCTATGTTAGTTATAGGCTAACTGAACGCCGTTTTTTTTTCGATCAGAAGTACATTATTTATATACTTTATTTTAGTATGTTGGATGAGTTTAGTACTGAACTTGAAAATACAGAATCCAAATTGGACACAACAATGAAAAAAGTTGCTAAAGTATTGAGAATATCAAACGGTAGGTATTAATTTGTATACTTAACTATGTATGGTTATTAGGGTGCCCGTTATTTCCCAAATTGATTTATTTTGCTGCCGCCCTCTGAAATTTTAGGTTTTGCTCTAAAAAAAGATATTCAACAAGCTCTTAATTTTTAATTTAAACCGTGCCGGAATAATTTTTAATCTCCTAAACAAATGAACCTACAGCTTCGACAATTCTAATACAAAATTTTACGCTCTACAAAAAAGGTCTCTTTGGTTCTTTCCATAAAAACATTCCTTTAAAAGTTATTCGCGGTCAAAGTTATTGCACACTGAAAGGCAATGAAACAATAATCTTAAATTATAGTTTTAATCAATTGATCATAGATGGCGCATATTAGTTTTCCATATTAAAGTTGGTAAAGAAATATTGTTTTATTGAAAAAAGTATGGCTCTAGATTAGAGGTGTGTAGTTCGTGAACGAACTAGTTCCAATGAACTATTCCGACCCGGGAATGAAAGGAACTAGTTCCCGATTTCTCAAAGAAATAGTTCCTCAGGACCTGTTCCGGGATCGAGACTGTGTGAGATTGAGCGTTTGAGCGCGCGTAGCCCGGTGGTAGGCAGGAGTGGGGAGTGCCAGCCGTACGTTATCGGATCCGGACCTAGAGGAACTAAACCACAGAATATACTAACGAAAAAGAAGCCCAAGTTCCTTGTAATAAATCGGTTCCATTTTCGTAACGCCATCTCTGGACAAAGATGACATTTACAGGTTAGCTAAAGGGTTGCGGGGCCGGGGGGAAATGTAAAATACACTTTTTTATTTTAATTATTTTTATTCGCTATTTGCAATTTTATTTTTAAAACATATTATCTGAAACAATCACATAATATGTCTTAAAAATAAAATTACAAACGGAAACAAAAGGAATTAAATAATCTGAAAATCTACAAAGTTTATTGATAAAAAAGTTAGGCTATGCAAATTGATATATTAAGTATAACCTCTTTGGTATAACATTGTTAAGCAAACATTAACAAATCATAACATATCAGATCATAGAACTAAAAAAAGTACTATTACATAAAAACAGGTGATACAATACTTCAAAATTAATTTTAACATAATATCAAAACCGAAAAATCAAACTGCAAACACGACCACACTTATCACAACAGAAATTAACACACACTTCCGCGGCAAATGTCCAAGAAAGACTGATCATTCTGATTGGTCCTGGTCCGGTCGTAGCTCACGACGTCGTATTGTCGGTAAGCAAAATCCCTGTCCAAAAATCTTGACGATCAGCGCCATCATCCGTCATAATTGGGAAATTTTTGCTGGAACCATTTTGAATATTTCACTTACATGGCCCTGAACTAAACTAAATAAAAGACTAGTTTACGTACGAACGGATCGGGCCAGCGCGATCGATGCTAGGCAGGAGTGGGAAATGCCAGCCGTATGCCGTATGTGATCGGATCCGGACCTAAAGGAACTAGAGGAACTAAATAAAAGACTAGTTTACGTATGGATCAGCCAGCGCGATTGATGCTAGGCAGGCGTGGGGAGTGCCAGCCGTATGTTATCGGATCCGGATATAGAGGAACTATTAAAAGACTAGTTCACGGGAATCTATTCAGTCGGCAGATCCGAGATATAATACAAGGCGACGACGATGGATTCGGCCTTGTCTATTGCCACAGCCGGCTCGGCGTAATTACCACAGAAAATTGTCGTGGATACTGTTTTTGATTTTTACTTTGTTTTTTAAATATTTTATGGGAATGTTTCACTTTAGCTCCCTAAAATTAAGAAATATCTTATAAAACGAAGTAGATATTCTGGATTTTTAGAAAAAACAAAAAGCTTGAAGTGAGGAAAAAAATTTTCAAATTTTTCATAAAATTTTTGTAATATTTGCTCCAATTGATTTGTGATATAGTTTTTTAAATTCTGATTTGAGTTTTTTTTAAATTTTTTTATCTGCAATAAAACTTACCTATATGTTTTTAACATACACAATTACACGTCTCGTTATATCTCCGTACATTATAAAAATTATACAGATCATACTGTGAATAGTTCTGACTGACAACGAAACGCATTAGCAAGCAAGGGGGATGTCAATGTTAGTCGCGAACTATTGTGAACTAAAGACCTAGTTCAAGGAACTATTCCTCTGGAGGAACTAGAACTAAGGAACTAGTTCCTCCCAAGGAACTAGAATTCCCACCTCTACTCTAGATCCTTTTTTAGTAAAAAAAAGGCGCAATTAGAATTTGCAGTGACTATTAGAAACATTTGATTATAAACTATGTGCATAACTTTGACCGCGAATAACTTTTAACTCTTTGAAGGGCAACATTTGTCAGTAAATAAAAGTGCTAGAGGGGCATGATTTTTTTCATTACTTTTTAATAAAAATATTTAACAGAACTAAGAACAAATATTGAAAATAAACTCTAAAACTATGAAAAACAATTTTTTTTATATAAATAATGACGTCATTGCGTGGTACATATACAGTACCATTGCCCCAGTATAATTTTACTCGAAAGTGTGGAAGTCCTGGAAGCATGTCTTGTTTGCCCCTAGACAGAGAGGAACTCGACAAACCGAACATATCCAGTTGGTACAAACTTGCTGTTTTGATGTACTGCATTTTGCACATCGCCGCCGAGAATCTCTTTCCGGTTGATGGGAACTTTGGTTGTGCCTAATTTCTAGGGGAATGAATGGCTTAAACTGTTTTTTTAGCAACTGTTTCTCCACAGCTATAAGCTTTCCTTTTGTTTTTTATAACCAGGTCTGCAACTAGTCCTTGTGATATGCTTCTTCTAAACTCTTTCATGGATATTTTTGGCGAATGAAGTTCTTTATATAAAACGAAAGCGTTTACTACTGCTGCATCGAGAAAGTAGAAGAATATCCTGTGCCACCATTTTTTTGATTTCCTGTTTATTTTATACAAATTCAGATTTTGATCAAATTTATCAACAAAATTCATGTTGGCGTTATAATCTGACAGCGCTTGCGGACAACGAACTTTGGTTGTAGTACCATTCTTTTCTTTCCTATTGACCTCAGTGGTTCCAAAAGGAGAATGAAAATTTGACAGTAAATAAACACTACGCTTATCTCTCCATTTAAAAGCTACAATTCTTGATGGATTGCTAAAACTTCAAATTCCCCCTCTTCAATTTTCGATCCGGTTTAAACACCGGCAAAGTTTTTCTCGATGGATTTACGGTACCACAGGCATGAATTAGTTTTTCTTCAGGTCTTCCAGAAGTTCGGTACTATTGAAGAAGTTGTCAGAAATAGACAATGTGCTCTTTATTTTCCAATCCATTGAGCATTTGTTTAATAACTCTGGCACCTAATTGTTTTTCAGCGTCCTCCGCTTTACCGGTATATATATCAAATTTTTGACAGTAGCCATTTTTATTCGCTAAAATCCATACCTGTATCCTCGTTTAATAGGTTTTTGGGCATGTACTGTTTGAGCGAGCTTCTCCCTTTGAATTTTATCATTGACTCGTCTATTACAAGTTCCCTACTTGGAGCCATACACCTTTCAAAATTCTCAGCTAAGCAATCAATAATGGTCGCACTTTGTACAATTTATCGTAGTGGGCTTCTCCCTTTTTAGGCATTAGCACGTTATTATTGAGATGGAAGTTCGAAAGGAGCCAACTAAAGCGCTTCACAGGCATCAATCCACTTATGTAAGCATCATTTATATCAGGAGAAGTACTCCAGTAGTCCCTATAGCTCGGTAATCGTTTAATTCCCATTAATAAATTTATGCCTAGAAAGGTTTTTATTTCTGAGATTTCGGTAAGTTTTTGTTTGCTGAAAGACTGCTGTGCGTACAAATTTGTCTGGAATACTATGTGGTCAAGCAGACCATCATTAAAAAATAACTTGAAAAGTTTGTACGGAGTAGGATCAACCATTTCTCTCACAACAGGTTTAATTCCGGACTCTGACGTAAAGTTTGAGGGGGGTACTGGTTCAACAAGCTTAGACCAGTCGTTAGAGTTTACGGGTGGTACAGGAAGCAGATTAGTTGCTAAAATAGATAATGGCACGTTATCTTCTGGATCAGTATCAGAATCAGTAAAATTCAAAGCAGGTGTAGTTTGGTCCAACAGTATTTGGTCATCTTCATCTTCCGACTCACTAAATACAGACTCCGGCTCGGAAGGTATTGGCTCCGCGTCGTTATATATATTATTCAATTCATCTTGCAGGTCATCATAACTCCAACCTTTTAGCTTAAATGGTAACGAATCCATATCTTGAATATCTAAAAAATAATGTGGCATAATCAGGATAGAATATTTGCCTAAGCGTGCAACGGTACACTTATAGTACCACAACAAACTACCAAAATAAAACAAAAAAAAATATTTTTTTCTTGTACCAAAATAATATTATTGTTATAAATGATCAAATATATTATTATTACAGGAAAGGCACCTATATTTTATTATATTTCACTTACTTTTCTGTATATTCAGCAGACTTTCACTTGCAACCACCTTAACGCTATGATTTTATCAATAAAACTGATCGCAGAACCGAAACTGCCACGTGCAACAGTTTAAATGAACAAACAGCCGTCAGAGTGCGACCAATATTACGTTGGTCGAGAAAATGCTCCATTGCACAACTAGCTAAAAATGTTTGAAGGGGTGGTACATTTTTTAGACCGGTGCCCCACTAATACATATATTTTCCGGGTACAATTGTTATACCGGTGCCCCTCAAAGAGTTAAAGGAATGTTTTTGTGTAAACAACCAAATAGATTTTCTTTGTAGAGCGTAAAATTTGACTTGTATTAGAATATGTCTTTGTCGAAGCTTAGACGAAGTTAGAGCAAAAACTAAAATTTCTTAGGGGGGCAGCAAAAAAAAATCAACATGGGAAATATCGGACACCCTAATGATTATATCAGTTCTAATATTTATGATATTTCTTATTCCTTTTTATAGATAAACGTCAGTGGACAGCTATAATAACTCTGGTTATTGTACTTATAATTGTGATACTTTTGTTTTTCATACTGTGATTATCATATTATAATTTTCACTTCTACAGTTTAGCAGATCATAGATTTCAAGTACAAAACAATAAATAATGTAAACGATTTCATTGAATATGTTCTTTCTTTGTTAAAAAAAGCGGTTTTTAAAGATATACATAAATAAGTATAACAAAGCATTTCATATTCAATAAAATGTTTTAATTTCTTCTATTTGGAGTGCCATATAAACTAAGTAGATATATATAAGTACACTAAAGTCAAAATATGTATCCTAGAAAATTTTGGTAGAATTAAATGTTAACTAATTTTTAACATACCCTTAGCGTTAATAATATAGCATTGGAAAATGCTTTAGGAAAAGACATAGAACTTATAAGTATATAATCCAAATACATTATTTAAGAACTGCAAGTGTATACATTATATTTATTTTTATTATTTATGTATTTGTTTTCATGTAAAAAAGAAAATGTTCTTTAAAAGTAATTATTTTTAATATGAATTAATATCACTGATCTGTTAAAAAGTTGATTTAGTTGATATAATCTAGAATTAAGGAGGCAGTTCTTAAATTAGTATGCTTAAAATAGCGTTTTTTATACAGTACCAATTTACTAGATTATTGAAAAGTTAATATAATGTCTATTCTTTTTTATAAGATTTCTAGATATTTTCCTCTAACTGTGAATTTGTGTTATAGATTTAATTAATTGTGATTTGCCCAGATATATAATTTTACTTTTTACATTAAATTATTTTTCTTATACATAGTTATTAGGCTTTATGTAAACTGTCTGTTATAAAATTTTATCAGTTTCAACTCTGATTTTTATTGTATGCCTGTGTAAGTCCTAATAACCTTACTCATAGAGAAAATAAATAGGCTGTACTTAAACTGCCGTTAAACGGTAGCTTACTAAAATGCCGTTAATAGGTATGACGTCGTTGATGTGACGCACTTGACGGCTTTATGAAATATAGGAATTTTATAAGGACTAACCAACGCTATCCACCCCACCAAATAACCAACTTAACCAACGCAACTAACCTCGACACTGATAAAAAATATAAAAAACAAATATAAATTAGTAAAAATCAACCAACACCACCAAATAACCAACTAACCCAAGAACAGTAAACTAATAGGATTGCTCATCCTCATAAGACGTACGTTCGCCTCTTCCCGCGCTTCAGCTGACAGTTGTGACGTCATAAATTGACCACTCCATAAATTTCGTTTGCTTCTCATTAAACACTAAGCCTACTTTTTGCGCTTGATTTTCTAGTCTTTTCGTCACCGATATCAGCTCTTTCCGATCTCTTGCTAAGATGACCAAATCATCGGCAAAGGCCGAGCATTGGTGTCTTTTTGTATACAGAAGGCCCTCTCTGTTGATTCCCGCGTCTTTTATAATTTTTTCTAATACTACACTAAACAGTATTGGAGATAGTGGATCCCCTTGTCTTAATCCGTCCCTGATTATAAATTTTTCCGTTGTTTTCTTGTTTACTTTGACTTCATTTACTGTTTCTTGGAGTGTCAATTTTATCATCTTGATCAGTTTCTTGCTAACCCCTCCCAAGTAGCATTTTCACGACTTGCGACCACATGTTTACTAAACACAACGTTGGATTAGTTACAAAAAATAGTTAGCTCCCTTCCATGGGTAATAAAATAAATTTAAACGTTTTTATAACGTTGTGCCGACGTTGGACTAGTGCTACAGCAAAGTAGAAGCTTCTGCGTCGTCGAATAAACGTTGTCTTGTAACCTTTTTTGCTTAAGTGATCTTTAGGTGATTCGGACAACGTAGTTACAACGTTGGACAATATAGAGTTTTCCGACGTCAGTTTCAGGACCTATTCCAACGTTATGCAAACGTCGTCTGTTTTACTAATTCCAATGTTGTTTAGATTTCCTTATTCTTACGTTGGTAGGACGTCGAGTCACTACCTTTTTGCAACTGTATTGAACCATAACCTTAAATCTTAAATTTTCACTTCATTGTTCTGTTCAGTCAGACAGTTCAGTGCTGTTTTTGTTTTTATAAAAAAAAACTTAATTAAAATGGAACATAAGAAAGGTACATATAAAACTAAATTTAAATATACATCGACATATATTACCATATAGAGGGCGACACAAGCTAGACTCTAGGATGACTAAATTAGGCAATCTTGCGACTAGTATACTACCTGTTAAGGCCGAACTGTGACTTTATTAGTCCAGTATGCGACTACTCAAACTACTCCATCTTAATCTCCAAAACAACAAAGTGAAAGCCGCCATGTTGTTAAATAAGAAAATGTTTCGTTCCTAAAATAGCAATTCCTGCTTTTTGAATACATTAACTTGAAATATTTGACCCTAAAAACACGCGGAAACAATTTTTCGACTGCGAATAAATTATTCTCATTTTACTAAAAAAAATTCAAGAAAATTTTTAAAACTTCTTTTTAATTTTAAGGCCCATTAGTATTTTTTTCAAAGTAGAAACAATACATTTATCAATAAAGTTGTTTGCGTTTAACTTTTTTACCTTGGGTAACGAGTTACAGAGTCGGTTAAAGTGTTTCAATAATTATGATTTTTAAACATCCCCCACACTTAAATACTTTTGTTTTGTTTTCCTTCACTGCCATCTGACATATGTCTCTAACTAAATCATAAAAATAATATTTTTACTATAATTATCCCAATTTAGGATAAAAGGCGACTTATACGCCATATTAGTTTTGTATTTCTGTGAATTAGGATTTTAAACAACGTTGCAGTTTGTATTAAATTAGGCTTCTAGCCAACGTCGGTATCCAACGTCGTTTCTACCCAAAAATTATTCTCCAAACTAGTGCAGACTAGGGTTGGCACGAGGTTGTGCCGACGTTACGCCCCGACGTTTAGTCGCGTGACACAACGTTGTCCCGACGTCCAAATGCTGCTTGGGCTAATTCTGTTAATGCCACAAATTAACTACAACAGATGCGAAAGAACACCGAATTACGCGTTCAGGTTTCTGTGACCTTCAGAAAGAGTTCATAGACAATCCGCACCAATGTATAGTTTGGGTTATTATTTGTTTGGGTGAAAATAATCTGCACCAATATATTATCGAGGCATATAATCTCACAGTAATTTAATAGATTGCTCATCATATTATATCAGTTCGTAGGAGATTAGGAAAAAAAAGATATTTATAGTATAAAAAATTAATTTATTTAACAAAATTTAATTATAGATGTAACAAAATAGTTACTTTTCTATTGGTTCTATCGGACTTTTTTCGACTATATAAATCTTTATTTTTTGTAAACTTTAATGCATAAAATATTTTCAATCTAATAAATAATTTAATGATGTAAATAAGAGGAAATTTCTCACATTATGGGTCAAATTCTATAGTTTTCATTATATCAAACAGCCTCTGAATGTTTTCTTCAGTGCAAAACTCATCAAAATTTAATATAAATAATTTTTCCATTTCCAGTAAATAAAATGAACAAATTTTTCCACTTTCATGATCAAAGGCTTTTAAATGGGTAAATAATTTCAAGTTATCCAGAGATTCGGATTCTTTTGCAAATTTTAGACAAATATCACATTGATGTATTTGAAGACCCTTTTAATTGATGTAGTCAAACATAATTAAAGGCATTTTGAGTTGAAACATTTCTCAGAGGCTGTTTGATATAATGAAAACTATAGAATTTGACCACCCATGTGAGAAATTTCCTCTTATTTACATCATTAAATGATTTATTAGATTGAAAATATTTGATGTATTAAAGTTTTCAAATAAAGATTTATATAGTCGAAAAAGTCCGATAGAACCAATAGAAGGTACTATTTTGTAACATTTTAATTAAATTTTGTTAAATAAATTAATTTTATACTATAAATATCTTTTTTCCTTACAAATAAACACACATTTGTATCCCATTTTAAATAAGATATACAAATTACCAAAACTTAGAAATAACAGTTCAAAAGTTCAACAAAAATCCTACACCCGTTTTTAAAAAGAAACATATAACCACGCACTATGTCATTCCAGCAAGCGAATACGACACAGCATAGGTTTCCGGACTAAACGACTGGTGTATTTACACCACTCAATAGGCGCGTGGGGTTTGCCGAGCGGTTTCCGATGCAGTCGCTTTCTTTCGCATCTGTTAAAGGTAATTTGTGTTTAGAGCTAATGCTCTAAACACCTCCGTCCTTTTATAGTCCCTTTGTCATATGCCTGCTGAAAGTCGATAAATAGGAGCATTGTCTGTTTTCCTTATTCATAACTCTCCGCTTGTATTTCTCTAAGGGTAAATATTTGGTCAATGGTACTTCTTCCTTTCTTAAATCCACATTGGTACTGTCCAATTTTTTCATCAACCTCCTCCACTAACATTTCTTTTATATATGTTGCCAGTACTTTATACGCTACATTTAGGAGAGCTATACCTCTGTAGTTTTGACACTCGCTCTTATCTCCCTTCTTATGTATAGGGCAGATTCAATATCAATACATACTGAATCATTTATCTACCACACTCAAGGAATGTATAAATTGCGTATCACGCATAATGAAGCACTCTTAATTAATATTACAATAATTTTACTCGTTCAACAAGAATTTTCGAATCATTTTCGAAGGGGTATTCAAATTGCGTATCACGCATAATGAAGCACTCTTAATTAATATTACAATAATTTTACTCGTTCAACAAGAATTTTCGAAATATTTTAATTCTTTAAAATTGGTATGCCCTGTACGTTATAATGAAACTTGGCCGCGCTCTTTTATTTTCGAGTAACGGGAACAAAATAAGCAAACAAGAGCTTTTCATTCATAACGCTGGTCGCGAAACAAATAGAAAACTAAAATACTGAAGTTTAAAACTTGTACTTCACCGTAAAAGAAGAAAATAAAAGTCCATAACTGCATAACGGCACCGGATTCTTCTCGGAGAGATATAGTTTTAGCACGACGTATTTTTATATAGGGCACTGTCACACTTTCACACTTTTTCAAAAATTGGTATAAATAGATTACGAAAAAATATAT